GTAAAGAAAAAATCAATCACATACACAAAATAAGAAAGAAAAAGAAAAACGACACACGACACCATACATAACATCGTTGTCGTCGACAATGATGTGATATTGTTCTTCTATTTGTCCCTCCGGCAGCTGAAGAGAGTAAGCAGGAGCTCCTGTTGAGAGACAAAGACAGCGAGAAAGGGAGAGGGAGAGAGAGAAGAAGAAAAGCGACAACGACGACAAACTACTCGATGCAAGCATGCGTGTGGCGAACACATACTGGCGAGAAGAGCAATAAACAATCAGCATATACACTCATAGACTACTTTATATATATATATATATATATATATATATATATAAATAGGATGACGATTTAAACTTTTAATCGAATATAAAGAATAAGAAAAACGTTGTTATTATTACTACTATTATTATTATTATTATTATTATTATCATTATTATTATTTTTGCTTAGCTATTCATAGTCAAACTATATCTAAATAAATCGGATTGACATATATTGTCTCAAAGATAATCTGTCAATCTCGTATAAGCAACAAAAAAAAAATCTATAGAAAGAAACAAAATAAGAAGTCGAGTAATGGAAAAAAAATGTAGATAAAATATATAAGAACGCATGAGAATAACTTACTTGACTAACTATGACAGTTACTCTTGTAAACTAGTAATCGTTGTAGTAACACGTCATACAACAAATAAATACACATTGTTCTTCTGACGAAGATATGAAGAATGTGTTTATAAATGTATTATATACATCAATTTCTTTTCTATATACTTATTGATGATATGGGGGTAGAAATGGTGATGAATAGAGTAACAACATTCTTTTCTCTATCTATCTATCTTTCTTTCTTTCTCTATTTCTCTTGAGAATAAGATGAACGAATTGATATAGGAGAAAAATGTTTGATAAAACCTACATATATTAAATATAGACACGCATTGACTACTAAATCGTTCGATTGCTCTTTAATTACTAGCTTGGATTTAACTCTTATTCAATGGATGTAATACTCAGTGACAATGATGATAATAATGATAATTATCAATTGTGCGCGCTTGTCTTTTTTTTTCTAACTAGAAAATATTCTCTTACCCGCCTTATATGAAAGAACGATAGAGCAAAAAAGAATGACATTTTACTATATACATTATACAATGATTTATATAGACATTGACTGACGCTGCTACCACCACTACTAGCGTCATTGCACATAAGAAATGAATGGAAGAAGAAGAAGAAGAAGAAGAAGAAAAAAAAAAAGAAAGGACAATATAGAATTCTATTGAACATATTAAAGAATTTATAGGTAACACTTACGATTTTCATGATATCGATCTTCAATAAGAAGATGATATAGATTAGGTGGTATTTCTGCAGGTCGATAATACCAACGTACTTCAAGCATAACATGATCTTTTCTTGTCTAAACATAAAAAATATAGAACACATATATTTATAAGAATTTAACTTACTAAACGAAAATCAAGAATACAAGCTATTGAATAAGGTTCTGCTTGTTTATTTGTTTCCAAATAGACATGATCTAAATTTAGAAAAAAAAAAACATAAATTTGTTTTTAGATGTCAAAAACAAAAGATAATTTATTTCATTTTTCTCACCTCCAATCCGATAACAAATACCATTTTTATCAGTATGAGATTCAATTTTTTCATCTTTAAATGTATGTCGAGTTGATTTATTATTTGATGTTGTTACACGAGTTGTTAGCGGTTTATTCGTATTACTATTATTCTGTGCACGAAGACGTTCTTCAAGACCTTTAGAAAAACAAAAAATCAAACAAAAAAAGTTTTTATGGATTCTCTCTTCATCTATAATTACTTTGTTCATCTTCTGCATCCATATTTTTATAAATACATACGGACAAGAAAAAAAATGAAATCTAAAAGAAAAAAAATACGTTTTTTTTCGCTATACACAATTAAACACTGTTAGGACAAAGACAATCAAAAAAAAAAGAACTTTTTTTATGGATGTTTTGTGTTGTAGATTTTTTATTAAAGAAAATACGGTGTCGTCGTTTTTGAAGGTATAACCCGTTGATTATCGGGTACAGCATTAAACAATTTTGTTTCATGATTCGTTGCTGTATGGAATGCAAGTATAGCGGCTATATTACCACAACGGTAACAATAATTCGGTGCTGACCATACAGTTACAAGATGTTCATCGAACATAAATTTAATTCCTAGAAAAGAAAGAAAGAAAGAAAAAAAAACATAGAAATATTCATATATAATTTCAACTATTAATGCTAATGTGTCTCATGAGAAATATAGATATTCATTCATGTGAGGAAACTAAAAACAGAAAAGAAATTTTGATCATCGATCTTTAAATTATATTATCATATTACTGAAATCTTATTAAATCTATTGTTTATATCTAATCTATTAGTTTCTTTTTGTTTTTTTTTATATTTAAGAATAATTGTCTACTGAAAAAAAGAGAATAGAGATTTTATTAAATTGAAATGTTATATATTAAAATGAGAGTTTTTATTAGTCCGGATAATATAGAGAAAAAAAAACGCATTATGTCTGATAAGAAACATCTACTATACGTGTTTGGTATTTCAATAGTAAAAAGGGCAAACATATTCAATTGACAATCGGTATTATCAGATGAAAGTAAATAACACCATATTTTGTTGTCGATGATTATTTAAAAGAAAAATAGTTTGATAAAATGAAATAATTTAAGTATTTGATTCAATATTATCAAGCGTAATCGTGTTCTAATGATAAAAATAATAAACTGTCTTTTTTCTCTCTCTAAAAGATCTCATATAATTACAGATAAAATACATAATGTTTGTGTACATGAATACAGATGAAATATTTAATCGATTTCGTAAGTTTGTCTCGTATTGCAAAGCAACGACGCATGCAATTAGGATACAACATCTCATCTTATTAAAGCTATTTACATATTGTATACTCAATAGTTCTAATATAACAAAAACAAAATGTATAAAATATTGTTAGACAATAATATTGAATAGAATATTCTCATTCATTCTCAAAGGAAATATCTTTGATTTTTCATCAAATAAACAATCAAAATAAATGTTAGAAGAACAATAGAAATTGATAGTCAATTTAGAAAATAAATTTTACCTTCTTGAACCAATTGATGTGCACGACAAATTAAACTTAATTGATTATTGTGCATAAATTGACTAGTTGGTTTTTCTCCAAATAACCATCCTGCACCTCGTGGTGATATAGCCCACCAATCAATATCATCTGGATCAGACCACATTAAATCACAAAAACCACCACGATGTGGAATTTCTTGATCACGTTCAATAATACGCATTTGATCAATTGTACCAATATCTGGTGAAAGTCCACCATGAATACATAAAACTTCATTATCAATCAATGCACCAATTGGCATAAGATCGAATAAACGACAACAAAATCTCCATAAATTAGCATTACCATATTTTTTCATACATTCATCATAAAATCCATAAACTTGTGTTACTTGTCTTGATTCATGATTACCACGTAATAATGTTATACGATCGGGCCATTTAGCTTTAAAAACAAGTAACTGTGTTAATGTTTCTAAACTATAATAGCCACGATCAACAAAATCACCCATAAATATATATTGCGTATCTGGTGGATAGCCACCTGTTCGAAATAATTCTTGAACATCATAATATTGTCCATGTAAATCACCACAAATAGTTACCGGTGAGAAAATTGGTTGAACATTTGATTCTTCGAAAAAAATGTCCGATATTATTGTACATAATTGTTTAAAATCTGTTTCAGGTAAATATTTGCAATCTTTTATCCATTCAAGCCATCGATCAATATCTCCATTCGTATTTGAAGAACTATTTTCATTCATTATCTGAAATAATCAATAACAAAAAAAAACACATTTATTTATTTATGTATTAGAGGTTGTTTTAATCTATTTAAGACAAAAGGACAGTCTAAGTTTATTTGTTTTTTTTATTGTTAATTTCTATTTTAACGTCGACGATCTTTATCACGTGATCGTGAACGATCACGAGATGGTGATCTAGAATTAGTACGTGGCTTTTTTTGACGTCGTTGATACAAACGTTTTCGTAAATCTTTTGAAATCTAAAATAGGAAAATAAAAATATTATTTATATCAAAACAAGAAAATTATAACTACTTACAGGTTTCAAATGCATAAAATTGCAGAAACCACCTCGTGGACAATCACTAAAAAACAAAAAAAAAAAAAGAAATAATTAGAAAATAGAAAATTGTTTTTTTTTCAATATGAATTAATCAATTCAAATTGATTATGTTCAGCCATGCTTGTAGACGGAATAAGTAAAAGTTTTTAAACAATTTATTAGTTTATAACAAGAATCTATTTAATACCTGTGAGATAGTAAATGTTGTGAACTCAACTGATACTAGATGATCATAATAATATAATCTATAAAATATGAATCAATAATATACGATACAAAAGCGAGTTGAAGATCTTACGAGATTACAATATAAATACAAGTAATAAAGATGAAGACTCATTCTTTTCGATTGAAGTTCATTTTGGCATTGCTTGTTATCAATGATCATATAGATCTGCAAAAAGACTTCTATTATTTTACAATCCGTATAATAATTTCCTTAGAAAAATTAAAGATTTAGAGTATTAATCGACTATAATCAAATAGATTGTACAAGTCTGTCTAAATCCGTGTTTTCAATAAAAAAAAAAGTTTTCTATTGATAATTCAAGGACATATTTTTATAGTAGATTTTTAGTGCTACCTATAGTAATGAAATAATTAAATTTGGATCGATAACAGTATAACTCATTTATTTCATATGAAATTGATTTTTTTTCTATTGAATATTGTATTAATTACATACCCCATTTGATATTGACGACAACATGCTTCATGAAAGTCAGTTACAGGACTTAATTCGGCATAAACAGCTCGTCCATCAAACCAACGATTATTAAGATCAAGAACAGCTTTTTCAGCATCTTCTTCAATATTAAATTTTACATAACAATTACCTAAAAAAAAATTGAAAAAAAAAATTTTTTATTTAGAAAAAAAAGGAAAATGTTATTAACCAGCTAAATGTTCGGATAAATTATCACAAATATTCATTTCTTCAATATCACCATATTTTCTTTCTAATTCAACAAATAATTCTTCGAATGTATCATCAAAATGTTCTTGTATACGTTCTTCTGTAATATCATCACTAATAAATGATTTATCTGCTTTTTGTGAACTATTTTCTAAACTTAAATAAAGATTTTTTAATAATATTGTTTGACTAAATGTTGGTTTATTATGTAATTTTGAACAATGTTCACCATGTCGACATGCACCAATTTTAAAAAAGAATGAACAATTAACTTTATCTTTTTCAGTACCAAATATCGATGCAAGATAATCAGCCATTCACTTTAATTATCTTATATATTTGACAAACGTTGTTATATACGATGTATAAGAGACGAGTAAATATAAAACGAACAAACACAATACGCTCTTTCTTTCTTCTATATTTCATCCAGATAATATTCTATGGATACCTATTATTCTATTGGTCGAAAATTCATAGCGACAACAACAACAAATATTATTTTTTTCTTCTGCTTCTTCTCTTCGGTATTATTTTTCAAATAAGCAAAACGATATCAAAATCATGGGGTTTTTAGCAACAACTGGAGCATTTGCACTTGTTTATGTTGCAGCACGTCTTGCTGCTTTTTTCTATCGACTTTTATGTCCAGTTAAACTTAATATAAAAAAATTCGGTGAATGGGCGATCGTTACAGGTAGCACAGATGGTATTGGTAGAGCATATGCTATTGAATTAGCTAAACGAGGTAGATAAATAAATGATAAGAACAAAAAAAAAAAAAGAAACGAAGTGCAAAAAGAAATATAAATTTATATTATTATTAATTAGGTCTTAATATTATCTTAATTAGTCGAACAAAAGAAAAATTAGAACAAGTAGCCAAAGAAATCAATGAAAAAAATTCTGATGTACATGTTAAAACAATTGCTGTTGATTTTACAAGTAAGATTATTTGTTTTATTTGAAATACAACCTTTTGATTATGATCGTAAATACTATAAAAGTAACACATATATCAAAATTAAACGACATAAATCTTGATAATTTTTCAAATGAAAGAAATAGCAAATCACAAGAGACACTTATTATAGAATTGCATGCCATACAAGTTTCATAATTTTCTGTACATGTCAAAAAAAGTCTTGGTCAGTTGTTTTAATATTCAGATAGATCGAATAGTTTCTGAATCGCAATTTTCGAACTGAGATTTTATGCAAATGTTTATTAAAACTACTGATGAGAAAAATAAAACAAAAAGTGTAGTAAATTTTATCTCAGATAGATAGATAGATAGACAACAATCACTACAAATATATAATATATATTTTATTTTAATACTATTTAGAAGACAGTTCAATTTATACAACAATTCGTGAAGAAATTCGTGGTTTAGACATTGGTATTCTTGTCAACAATGTTGGAATGTCTTATGAATATCCTGAATTATTTGATAAAGTTGAAGACAGTGCAAAATTAGTGCAGAATATGATACGATGTAATGTTGATTCAGTTGCTTATATGACTCAAATGATTCTACCTGGTTGGTTTGTTTATTATTTCTATTCGGAGATTATTTTTTTCTATCAAAAAAATTCTATTTAGATATGCTTCAAAAACGACGTGGTCTTATTGTTAATGTATCAAGTGTTTCAGGTCGACGACCAGTACCATTGTTAGGTCTCTATTCTGGTACAAAAGGATTTGTTGATTTATTTTCAAGGTTAATTGAAATATATATATATATATTGAGAAAAAAAAGTCTATCATTGAATTATTTATATTTAAGATCATTAGCTGCTGAATGTGCAACACGTGGTGTATTGATTCAATCATTATGTCCCGGTTTTGTTGTTAGTAAACTATCTGGCATTCGTAAATCATCATTATTTTCTCCAACACCAGAACAATTTGTTCGTAGTGCAATTGATCGTGTTTCACTTCCATTTACAACAGGATATTGGGCACATGAACTTCAAGTAAATCATAGAAAAGAATTGATTATTTATGCTCTTTCTTTTTTTTCTAGGATTTTGGTCAATCACTTTTACCAGACTTTCTCTCAAACAAACTTACTATGCTTGTTTTAGGTGGCGTTCGTGCAAAAGCATTAAAAAAACGTAATAAAGGACAATAAAATTTTATTTTTAATAGGCTTTTTTTCTAATTTCCATTTACTCATTTATTTCTCATCTGCATTTGTGTTTAGCACTCACATGATATTACTTTTGGATTTTTATCATTTCTTTTTTCGGATTCAAAATTTATCTTATGATAACATAAAGATAATATTTTGATTTTTTGAAATAAAACTTTTCTTTTCCAGCAAGTCATAAAATTATTCTTATGTATTCAATGCTAATTATCAACAAATCCTTGATGTATGAAAAACAAGAAGTACTCAAATAAACCTATCAATAATCTTAAATTCTATTTTAAAGGTTGACATTATGAATAGATCTTTTGTGTAATATGACTTTTCTTATTGGGTTCATTATAAACCGACAACATAATCAATTAAAGGATATGAGCATGAATTACTATATATATATTTCACGTTAAGAATTTGTAGCTTGTTTTGTTATTATATAGTCCTAGAGAATTCTATTAATTACATGCAAATAATAGTTCATTATTTATATTTTTGAACAAATCAAGCATATATTCTAATGACTTCCATTAGTTTTTCTATAACATATGAAGTTCTTTTTCTTTGGTATTATTTTCAAACAATCTTTGATGATTTATTCATTAAAAACTTTGATTTGTTGATCTCTTTGATGTCATACAAAAAATAAATCTTTTATGTATGTATATATTTCCTAGAATTTGATTCATCTATTGTTATTGAATGGATTGCTCTTCCTTATTGAATAATCAAATAATGACTTATTTACTAAATTGAGTATCGTTAAAAAGTGAACTGCTTTTTTTATGTGTTACACATGTATGATTTTTAAACATCAACTAATCGGTCATTTTGATTTATTATTTTGACCTTGACTATCGATCGGAATATTTTGATAAGGATTCAACTAGTTTTAAAAGGTTTATTTGTTATAAAAACAAATACATAACAATGAATATAATGTATTCAATAGATGTTACAATTGGCTTTGAAAAAAAGGAAAAAGAAAAGAATAAATAAAAATGTATAAAGAAAGATTAAGACTATAGAAATTTATTCTGATGAATAGAACGACAAACGAGATGCTATAAAAATTAGTTAATAGTATTGCATTTTTGTTGCAATTTTATACTTATTTGTCGTTGTTCTTTTCGAGGTGAACATATAAGTATAAAGAACCATTCATTCATACGCTCAAGGCCATCTTTATCGAGAGTTTTTTTTATATAAGTATCAACATTAATCACTGCTCTTTCTCTCTCGACTACAAGATGAAGATTTCTTTTTATTAAAAACGAAAAAACTAAAGGAAAAATCTCTAAAACCAAGCGATTATAATCTTTCAGATTATTGTTACAGATTAATTTCGGATTTACTAAATATAAAATAAATTAGATTGATTAATCCTTTTTCAAGTTTATTCAATGCTTCAGTACTTTTAGATACTTTACAAAGGTCATATATATATACACTAACAGCTACAATTTATCAAATTTTTTTAATTATATCTTTTCATGATATGACATAATGTTGCGTGTTTTCTTAAGTGCTAATATTTTAAAAATATTTTTTCTCTACTATATATATATTGATTACTATCTATTAAAGAAAATGCAAAAAGTCTATCACTGGAATATCTAATTAAATCATTAGAATCTAAAATTAATCTATCTATATGTTTAAGAAGAAGAAGAAGAAGAAAAAAAGTAGAAAAGAATTTCAATAAGACATCGTATCTAATCTTGTCTGATGAATGAATGAATGATAATGCATATGAGAATAAATTATCGAGACTATTTTATGATGTCTATACATCATCGACATCTCGTTTCGGATGCATAAATTAGATTTTCGGACAACAACAACAACAACAACAATAATAATAGGATAGCAGTTGCATTCATTACTGAAAAAGAAGAAAGCCTGAGGATGCTCATGACCCCGTATACATGTCAGTTCATATTTCCTTTCATTGTCCATCAGATGCTTCGTCGACCCTTGACTAATTTAATCAAACAGACCAGAAAAATGAACTTGACTAACAATCTATATCAATCTATTTTTATTTTCACTGATAAAGACTATTCTCATGATTACATCTTGAGTATATATAGTTAGTATGTCATAATCGTTGAGCTTTCTATTCATTCAATTAGTATATAGAAGCTATTCGCGCTCGATCGGCATCAAGACACTTCCGATTTGTCTGTGACGATCGACAAGAAAAACGAATTAGTTTGGACTAAAGTATTGGCGACATTTTTTCCTTCCTCTTCATTTCTTTCCTCTATGGCTTCTCATATGCCGCTCGACATTTCTATTGTATTGAAAATTGGCTGAGTTCATTGTACACACGTATTCAATTCATCTCTAATTCTGTGCGACATACGCAGCTAAATGGAAACATGGCAGTAATGGTGGAACGAAGAAAAGAACTAGTTCACACACATACTTTTTTGTGCGTATAAGAGACTACGCCTTCTGGTGTCTGTCCCTCTTTTTTTTCCATCTCTCTCTCTCTCCCTCTCCCTCTCTCTTTCCCTCTTTCTGGAAGAGGAGTGTTCAACCAACTTTTTTTTTAAGCAAAGAGTGCATAGCAATAAGAAAGAGAAAGAGAATGTGTTCGCTTCTGTGCGTACGTCTAAAGGATGCCTCCATCTAACCATAAGAGTGCGCATATGGGAGAAAGAACGAGACAGATGATAATGGAAAATTAAATAGAAGAAAAAGAAAAAAAAAGACTCATTCAAATGATGAATCTGAAAAAGGTTGAATCGTTGCTGAAAGTAAGCATATTGATAAATTCAACATTTATCTTTTCATATCAAATAGAGATTGTCTTTTTATTTTTCTCTTTTTTATTCTTTTCACTTGCTATCATACGAGAGATCATCTAAGAGAAAGTAATCGGCACACGCTAACATGACCACACAAAAAAAATCAGTAGAGAGAAGAAGAAAAAAAAGGGAGAAGAATGAGAAAGAGTGATGAAGGAAAAAGTTCCGGAAGAGTGTGAGAAAAAGAAACATGGTCTTTCTCTTAACTTCTATTTGATGTGCGTGTATGCTTGAAGTATTCGAAACAGCATTGGACTATCACCAATGACACTTCTATGCTGTGTACCATAGGCAACATATATATTATATTTTTTAACAAATAAATAATTGAATGATTTATTTAGTTTTTATAGATTTAGATAGTTTTAGAATCTAGTCATTTATTATGGGTAATGTACCACCTCGTCATTCGAAATCATATCGTGATGGACTTAATAATCATCTTTCATTATCAATGTCAACTGCACCAGCAACATCAACAACAACACCAAATCGTTCATCATGGAAAAAACAACTACAAATAATAAATGATACATTAAATATCAAAAAATTTTCTCTTCGACATGGACATGGAAGACATAAACGTTATAGAACAAATATCGATGAAAATAATCATCATAAATTACCGACATCAGTAACAACACAAAATTTTCATGATTTAATGAAAAATAATTCTGAAAAATCTATTAAAGATGAACATATTGATAATAGATTGCAACATGAAAATCATTTTACAAAATCATTTAGTCTTTTTTCAATTAAACAACCATTGACTGATTCAACAAATAAAGACATTATGACAAAATCAATTAATAATATAATTAAAGAAAAAGAAGACATACAACAACAACAACAACAGCAACATTCATCATTGAACAGTATAACAAAAAATTCAAATAATATTATTTCTCACAAACAACAGCAAGATAAATTCTCTATGAAAGAAAATCAAACAGCAGATGTTTGTAATCAACATAAACGGCGACATAAATTTGAAATGACAACAGGTGAATATAGTAATTTTACTAGTCTACAATTAATCTACCTTTTTTTTCTCTTTCTCTTTCTACATTGCTCTATAATTATTACTTGCTTTAATCTTAACTTAACAGTATTTGATTTTTGTAAAAGATGACAACAAAATGCATTACGGTATATGATTAATATGCTTGAACAACATATAGATTTTCGAGAGAGATTTTTTTTTTAACAATTGACGTTTTTACTCCTAATACCCAGGAGAATTATCTCTGGTAAAAAAAATCGACATATGTCATGCTTATAAATAAGTTTCCCTCGAGTGATTTAGAATTCAAATCTCTGTTTGATTTGATGAGGTAGCCAAGTATGAACAGATATATTATATAATACATATTGAATAACGCAATCAGTAAGAAATAAAAAGTAGATTGTTCATTCATTACAAATGCATTCGACATATCTATCTTATAAAACTTGAATAGAATCATTAGATTGACATTCTATCTTACGAAATCAGTTTACTAAACATATTTTTGCTTTTAGTTTCAAATTCACTTGTTAATAAACGTCATTCTACATTTGTTGCACCATTATATCATTTACCAAAATCTCAATCACAATATTATCATCAACAAAATCGTACTCAATTGTCTTCCTATACAAGAATAAATAATAATCTATCATCTAGTACAAAAAATATTCGCACAATAGAAAAACATACATCACGTAAAACAATAATTCAAGCATCAACAAGTGAATTATTACGATGTTTAGGTGAATATTTATGTTCATGTTGTTCACATTTATTACCAATACTCGATCCATTGGATTGTATTTTATGGATAAAAAGTGCTGATCGTCAATTAATCTTACAAGGTTGGCAAGAACAAGTATTTGTAAATCCAGCTAATATTGTTTTTGTTTATTTACTTGTACGTGAAACATTAACATATGTTATACCATCAATAACAATTAAAACAGTTACTGAATTACATGCAATTATATTAACATGTTTATATTTAGCATTTAGTTATATGGGAAATGAAATAACATATCCATTGAAACCATTTGTAACTGATGATGAAACACGTGATGTATTTTGGCAACGTGTTGTTTCAATTATGGGACAATTAAGTTCTAAAATGTTAGCAATTAATCAAAATCCGAAATTTTTTACTGAATGTTTTTCTGAATTAAAAACTTATAATCTAGTCCGTTAATAAATTTTGTTTTCTCGTTTTTTTTTTATTTGTGCAATAAAGAATCAGAATAAGAAAAAGAAAAAAAGAACATCTAGAATTATTTTTCTTGTGTATTAGTATTATTCATCGATGTATTAATTGTTCCATCATGACGTAGATCAACCATTGTATTTATTTGATAAGTTATATCACGTATTGTATCAATAACAATTTTTAATTGATTTTGTTTTTCATTAAGAATTTCTTCATAGATGGATTTTTGTTTTAATAATCGTGATAATTCTGTATTATTTGCTGTTGTTGTTGTTGTTGTTGATTCACGTGTTAAAACATATTCATGAATTTCACGAAGACGTATAAATAAATATCTTAAGGAATTTAATTGTACTGTTATATCATTCAATGCTGTTTCAAAACGTGCACGTTTATCAGCAAGATTTTGTGCTTGTTGTTGTTGAAGATTTGGATTTGCAAGATGTGGTGTTGGACGTGTTAATTGATGAAGCCATACACAAATTTCGACTGGTTTACTAACTAATTCTTGAACTGTTTCTTGACATTGACGAATACATGCAAGACGTGTTAATGGTTCAGATGGACCACTACCAGCAAGTTTTACTGATGATGATGAGGAATGCATTGATTTATCTAGAAAATATTTATCAAATCTCAATAGATTAAATAACCTTAATCGTAATAATAGTAGATTTCTCTTTCATGGGAAAATTCAGTTGAATATTTTATGAAAATTGTTATATGAATTTGATCTAACCACGCATTATTTGATTTATTAATATTCTATCTACGTCAAATTTCTAGAGAAGAACTATTCTTAGACTATATGAATTATATATTAATGAATCTAAATACTTAAATAACGTGAACAGAGGTCATTTTCATCAAAGTCAAATATTTTCTAATCTATTTTTAGCATACATTTGATCATAGTTAACACAGAAGTAATTAATCATTCTTCTCATCATTATTCTATAATTAAAATTTAACACTTGTTTTTTATATCATGTTTCATGTAATTAAAATAACCTTCACATAGAAAAGCATGTCAATTTTTTCCATGATAAAATGCAACAACTTCATATTAGAACTTATAAAGGAAAGTTCTCAGGTATGGCTTGCAGATTTTGATGAAATTATGTAGGTTTGTCAAGTAGAGCATATATATCTCAAGGATACAACTACGAGTGCGTTGGTAAAAAACTATAGGGAAACATATATCTAGGCTGTACTATAGAAATGTTACTTAAGAACTTTTTTAATCATCTTTAGGTGACGGTTCATTGCCAGCGAGTTTTCAATATTTTTGACATACTAGATTATTAAATATTGTTAGTATTACAGGTATATAAAACAAATGATTATTAAAATAATGCAGTGAAAACACACGGATTGACCGCAATATCGAATATCTAAAATGAAGATATATTGAAATTCAAAAAACAATTCTTTAATGAAAAGTCTATAAGATTTTTTTACAGATGTCATCGTAGTAGCTAGCTGTTTTATATTTCAGATAGGTATACCTCATCTGATAAAGTTACATCATTTTATCAAAATTCACGGGATATATCTGATGACTTTCCCTTAGTGGGTAAATTATCAACAATAGATCCAAGGCGTACAAAGCACAAATTATTTTGTTAAAACTATTAAATAATCTTTTTTTTATTTTAGAAACGAAGAGTGAATAGCTCTCGTTTATATATATTCTACTACAAAAAGAGAAAAAGAGATCAATATGCTATCTAATAAAGAAAATTCTCAATAATATAATCTACTATTATTCAAGACAAAAAGATTGATTCAAAATATCGATACATTGTATTTAAGTGAACTATATAGAAAATTAACAGTTTATCCTATTGTCATAAATTAATGATAAAATATCAGATTCTATAGATCTTTCTTTCTCTGTCAAAATTTAACAAGAAAAACTATTATAATCGATTGGTAAAATAAATCTTCCAATGAAATATATTATTTACTAGCGACATCTCGTCTTTGGTTAGTAAAAATTTCCAAGATTCTTTTTTATTTTATTTATTCAAATTAACAAATATATTTTAAAAATAATTTTATTTATTTTATAAAATGAAAACAACGTTCATTTGTTAACTAATCTGCGTCAACAATGGCAACACTCAAAAGAGAGAACAAACAACAAAAAGTAATATAAGATATGTTTCTTTCATAATTTTTACCTATTTCTAGATCAATTCTGATGCTTTTGATATAACTCATTTGTCATTCTCTAGCATCCTCTCTGAATTGATACTCTAAATTCGTTTTTTTGTAAACATTTCTGTGTGAATTTGTTCTATTCTTGTATTTTTTTTTATTCTGTGCAATTTAATTGTTGATTTTTGACTATCAAATATAAAACGCGATTACGATCGATGTTCGTCGTTTTCTTCTAATGGACTTAACTAATAATCTAAGTAATTCCACTACTATAACATCATCAATAAATCCACCAAAACGTGTTCGAATTGAAAGTGACGACTGGATTGATAAAGCACCACGATCACGTCTATTAGAACGTTGGAAAGAACAAGATTTATATATTGATTATTTAGAATTACGTTTACATCAATTACAACAATCGATTGAATCGAATGATATTGTACGTGAAAAAGAAACGGAATGTAAAAAATTAAAATCTATGCTTAATTATCGATTTTTAACTAAAACTACACAACAACAATCATTGGTAAGAAGAAAATAAAACATAAGATTAGTAAAGTATTATATATATATTTGTATTGTTCTTTTATCTTTCAAAGGATCAAATGCGTGATATGATTCAAACACCTACATTAGGTCGTCTTAGACAAACATATTTAGATCCATCGGTTAATCTTATATATGGACAAATGCGTGAAGAAATTGAACATAGCCGAAAAGCTCGTGATGAAGCACAAAATGAATTACAAGCATGGAAATTTACATCAGACAGGTATGTATAGATTATTAAGATATTTGTCTTTATTAATTAATTTTGTTTTTTATGTAGTAAAACTGGTAAAATGCTTATGGCTAGATGTAAAAAACTACTTGACGAAAATGAACAATTAGGTAAAATAGTTTCATCAGATAATGTTGCTAAACTTGAAGGTGAAACTGCTTTACAAAATCGACTTTTATCAAATATCAAAGATGCACAAAAAGGTATAGAAATCATTTTTAGAAAAACTAAAGTCACAATAATCTTTATATTGGTTTTTCTAGATTATGAAGAAATTTTGTTAGATATGGATACAAATATGGATGCTATGTCAAGTACATTACTTCATATGCGTCAACAATTAAATGATTCTCATCGACAAATAACTATATTAAATGAAGAAAATACTCGTTTAAAAACTTTATGTCAATCAACAAATAATCCTCTAAATACACCGAATGGAACTACTCATACAGATTCATCGTCTATCACATCCACAACCAATGCACATAATAATAAACTACCACAAAAACGATCACATTCATCAAATAGGACTACACCACAAACTATCAATACATCAAATAAAATAAAAACAACGAATCTATACGATGCAGATGACACAATTTCACCACCAATACCACAACCGACTTCATTATCTTCAAATGAGTTAATGGATGTTGAAGCAGATACATTAACGTCAATATCAACGAACAGTACAAATAATAATATTAATAATAATAATAATAATAATGAAAATCTTAAGAGGACTAATTCACTTGAAAATGGAATTAATATCACACCTTGAGAAGGACAAAATAAGGACTTTCTATTGAGAGAATGTACATATAAGCAAGAAAATATGTAGATTTAGATTGCCTCGAACAAAAGAGGAATACATTAAAAATATGTGATAGGGAACTAACAAGATCCTCTCAGCTCTATTTATTATTTCTCTTTGTGTTTTATCTCGTCAAGTCCCCGGTATTTGTTTTCTTTTTCTTCTGATGACGATGTCTTTTCTTTTTCTTTTCTTTTTTGTTGTGTTGTAAAACAGACTTATGTATTTAGTCGGCTATGTTCCTTCTTTTGTTTTTGTCGCTGCACATTTTGATGCTGCCTATATGTTGATGATACTCTTTGTTTTTTTTCTGTTGTCATTTATGTGTCTTTCTGTTTGTTTTTTTTATTTGGACAAACCAAAAACAAAAAAACTTACAAACATATACAAGAGAAAAAAAAAGAAGACATGGGATAAATCCCAGTTTATATGTCTTATATCAATTGTGTTGACATAATTGTAATCAAAGATATCTACTTATCTAAATTTCAGATGACTGATGTTGTTGAAGCTAATTTAGAAAAGAAAAGAACATATGATACATATCAACGAAGTTTAGTAGTGGAAAATATTGATGAGAGTTTATGACATAATATTTCTTCTCTTATTGAAATCAGTATGAATAACTTATCTATCGATAATGTTGTCAGTAAATTAAGATGATGAAAAGAGCAATATATATATATATAACTGTTGATTTGATTAATTGTTGATAATATGAGAGGTAAACAAAAGACATTTGAAGAGTTCATACTATGTTTTCCTAAGGAATTTTTCTAGTGCTGTTTGATACAATCACTTAAATTAGTATAAAAGATGATTTCAGTTGATATTTTATTTCTATTTAGATTTATTTTATATCTAAATGTCTAATATAATTGTTTATTGAAATAAAATGATAGCTAGTTTAAATATAATAAAGTATGAAAGAAAAATGAATGTCTTGTAAGTTAACTAATTTGTTCAAATTTGTATGTAAGTACTTTTTCTTCATCAGCTGCTAATGTTACATTAGTTTTGATTGATGTACCTTCTTGTTTAAAGCTTGGATTAGGTACTACTAATTTTACTGATTGACCATAAACTTTTTGTTCATATTCTACTTTAGCTGCACGATTTTTTTTGTAATTTTTCAATGTTACGGTTACAGTGTAAACTGATTCTGTGCGTACATGTGAATCCACGGTAAAACTACCTCGACGACTGGTTTCATTATAAGTACGTGTTGATACAACTGTTACATTTTCTCTATAAACAATATCAGCATCTTCACCAAGTGAAAATTCA